CAAACCTTGCAATCTACTATTAACCTAAAAGGGCCTCCTGTTAAGCAATGAGGGTAGTTCCTCCTGTTCCTTCCACTCCCTAAAGTAAACATCACTGCATGGTAATTAAATATGTAATAATTTGATAATTCTTCAGATAACCTCCAGATTTCAACACACTTGAACCACACAAAATGATCTTTGAAGCTTTCATTGTATCATTACCAAAATTTGTCCGCATTTACAGTACATTTTTTGAACAATGTGTGGATTAATGCCATTTGCTCATCGTGTATTTGAGTACCTACTACTTGCCAGTTTACAAAACCCTTTTACATCCATTGAATCATTTAAGGTAATATTATCTTGTTTCTACAGATGAGAGAATTAAACTTAAACAAAATATAAGGGACTTGGCCCTACGGTGACACACCTTATTAGAGGTGGCGCCAGTAACTCAAACCCAGGATCCCCAGTTCTAATATCCAAAACCTGACCCTCTTTCCATTACTCCTTACTGTGTCCTGATGCTGGAATGTCATGTTTTCAATGTGTTCAAAGTTGCTATTTAAGAGGAGCAGCATGGCATCATGAGAGGAGCACAGCCTCTAGAGTCTTAATTTCAAACTCCACTTACCACTTACAGGCTGCCTGTGGTTTCCTGGGTTTTCTACTGAGTTAGTAATTTCTATCTTGTCGAATTGTTATGGCAACAGAGAAGAAGCAGGTAAAGGCCCTACTAAGTGGTGGTGCACAGTAGGGTTAACTGTACTTACTGTCAGGGGCATCCTTCAGAAATGAGAGCACCAAAGTTTATAGCTTCTCCCCAGAACAGTAACTAGAAGCTGCTAAGGCAGAAGAGACGCCAAGCTTTATGGGGTCCTGAGAGTGTTAATACCAAATACTGTTTCCTAGATCATTTGGACATCTTGTGATGACCTGCAGCCAGATTCTTTACAATTGATAGAATCATGCCCTTCATCTATGTGTACAGATCAGTATCAGCCAGAGCCATTATTTCCTGTATGTGGGTGGTGCTTTTTATCCAGTCTTTAGTCTACGTCTTTATTTGCCGTTCCCAGGCCTATTTATACCACACATGCCTGAGCTACTGTTGAGAGAAGCCGGAATTAGCAGCTAAGACAGCTGGAAGATTAGGCTCTCGCTACTGATAAGGCCCATCTGATGCAGAACATGTGAATGTTTGACAACCAGACACATTATGTGAGAAAAATAAGGAAACCGGAGCTTCCCAGAAAAACAAAACAATACAAAAAAGCCTTCCCTTTTTCTCTGAAGCCCAGGTGGCAGACATTGGCCCTTGCTACAATGAGGCAAAATAAAATAAGTTTCTCTGTTTTTGTGAACATGACCAAAGGTGAATAGAGAAGTTGACCGCTGGTCTTTTCTCTTTTCGATGATTCACAGTAGGTTACTGGGTTTAGCTTCCCCAACCAGCCCCTGGTCCCTTATCTTCAAGAAATCCAGCTGACATCAAACTGCTCATGCAAAGGTGTCTAACGAAGAGGCTGGAGAACCCCCTTGGGTGCCATCCTCTTATTGTCTATCAGATCCCCATCCCATCCACCTCAACCTCAAGCTCAGTCTAATTTCCTCCTTTCTTGAAATCATAGCTGATGACTTACTCTGTATTCACCATCAAACATTTATTGAGCACCAACCATGCACTAAGGCACAAGCTCATGGTATAAAGACACTTATGCTCCATCCTCAAAAACTCATAGTTTAGGAAGGGGACAGACAAGTAATAACTAGACAATAATAGTAGAGTGTGATCAGCACTGTGATATGCTAGGGGTGGGTGGGGGGAGGATAGAAGGAGGGAATATAGAATAAGCCGTCCTACTGGAATGTGGACGAGGGGGATCTAGCTCACTTTTGTTGAGGAGGGAGACAGGGGTGCTGGTCAGGGTAGGCTTTCTGGAATGGATACTATGTAAGCTGTTTATTGAACAAAAGTAGGAGTGAGCCAGGCAATGAAGTAGGGCGTTCCTGACAGAGTATATCCCCAAGATGGGCCCGTTGCTTGGGGCCCAGTGTAAAAGCCACAAGGAACCAGAGCCTCTTACTCTTCAGGGCAAGCATCTTTCTTTGGGTAAAGGAGTATAATTTATACACCCCAGGGTCTCCCTTCCAGGTGTCCCTAGGAGAAAGGATGATTTGGAAAGCCCAAGAGGTCTAAGGGTGTTGGGGCCTTAAGGGAAGGATTCAATTTGGATTCCCTAACGCCTAGTTGTAAGTTAATGGGATATTTGTGACTATATAATAAAAAAGGCTCTTAATACAAAGGTCTCCCAGTATCTGAGTTCAACCTGACCTTAAAGTGATCAGAGGCTCCAGGTAGAATCAGGTCTTGTAGGTCAATTCCCAAACAGACCTCTCCAAGCCACTGGTGTACAGGTCAGGAGCGTCATATAGCCATCCTGTGCACCTCAGCTAGGCCTGTTGGCCAAGACTTACTTTCTGGATCATGGCCATTGAAATGGATGGTGCTGGTCAGCTGCTAAGGAAACCCAATTGTATTAGTTCTATAGGAAGGGCAGCTGGTTAGCATTTCCTGGGTAATCATGATCAGTACTAGAACTTGCCTGAGTTATCCCTTCAAAAAATATTTATGAAATGCCTGCTGTGTGTCCAGTACCTGGTTCATGTTTCCTTCTGTAATAGGCCTTAATTTTTCAGGTTTATCTGTTTTGCTACCCTCTTCTACAGAAGTCTATTTCCCAGGCAGGAAAACTTAACAAAATGTACAAGATATCACTAAGAAAATGTGCTGCCCTTATATATAAGTAGACAGCTAAGTCAAAGTCAGACCATGTGACTTGGGTTGGACCAGGGCTGATGATGTTTCTAGCTCTAACTTTCTCTGAGTCTAAATCACCCTCACTTTTTTAATCTGATTTGATTTGACACCCACCACATGGTTTTGTGAGCCTGTTGACTAGGATGAGGTTTAGAACCTGAAACTAATTTTTCTCCATGCAAAGCAAATGGCCCAAAGAAGGAATAAATGGAGTATTCTGCTCACTCATCGTTCATACTAGCCACCTTATTAGAGCAGAGCTGAAAATTCACAGAAAATAGAAATTTATTCTGAGACTACAGATGCACAAGGCCAAATAATCAAGTGAAACCGAACATTTCAACTCAACACCCAAATTTTTCCTCGCAACCAGATACTCGGTATCTCAGAGAAGTACATGGAATTTTGAATTTTGTCTGGAACTAAGTCCACTATCATTGCTTTGAACTATGGTTGCCACTGCAGCCATCTGACGGAAAATAATCTCCACGCACCCTGGAAGCTTTGGAAATTCTGAAGCTAGCACTGCTCCTTCCAAATGATGATCCCAGCTAAAGGGCCCCTTAGGTGGCTATAAAATCCCATGACCAGAAAAACTCCTGTTGCAGATTAGTAACTGGCTTCATCTGGACAGTGACTTTCTCCATTTGCTCTGTGGTCCCCACCACTGATTTACAAAAGCCTTAGATGGTCCTGGTCACTTCAAGTCCCACCACCAAAGCTGTGGCCGCCTGTTACAATAGTTTGAAATGTACTGATCATCAGCTCTGCTCATCACTGTGTTAGGCCCCAAGGAAACAGAGTCCTGCGTCAACGAGCACAAACTAGTAACAGCATCATTGCTGTTCCTCAGCTACTCCCAGGTGGTGTGAACTGTCCCAGTCTGTGATGAAGCAACTGAGAATAGCACAGACACTGGGAGCATTTGATACGAGGCTTCACAAAGTCAACCGAGATGCTCTTGGAGAGTCTAGACAGTGACGGAGCCATTTGAGTAGCTAGATCCACAGAACATTTTAGGTAGAATAAATGGATGGATAGGATGGAGCTCTTTCTGTTTTAGTATTTACTGCATCCCTGCCAGTGCCGGAGCCTGACTCTGCTCTTACAGGAAGCACTTACCCAGCAGCTCACTCTGGTCGTCATATATTGATTCTGGACAAGTCAGTGTCCAGATCCCAGCGTGAGTCTTCCTGCCTACAGACAAAAATTGCTAGGAAGTCTTTCTGAGGGAACTACTTAAAAGTTGTATTTGCAGAATTTCTACACAGGACTATAAATGTACACACACACACATAATTTTTTTTTTGTCATCAATCAGTTTCAGGAGACTACTGTCATTATTCCAACTTGGTCACCAAATAAATCATCCTTACCACACTTCTTTGCACTTGAGATTATTATTAGTGACCTGGATGGAGTTTTCCTCCGTCCCTCCCTCCCTCCCACACCATGAGGTTAAGAAAATAAAGATAATAACAGTGAAAGTCTAGAGACACTTGATATGCTTCCTGCAGAGTGCTTTAGGAATAAAGGACATTGATGCTATTTTTTTCTCTGTAATTAAAAACTCCTTAAAGAGAGGACCTCACATTTGCACACTGGGCAAAAAGCCAGAAGACAAAGCTGTCTAGTGCAGATGGTGGGGGAAAGGGGAGCTCAGAGGCCTTTCTCTGAAAGCCCCCTCCTTTTTCCCAGCACTTCCCACCCAATCATGCTCTGGAAATGTCACTCTTCGCCCATCCCCAGCCTCAGTTTCTCTGTGGGCTCTTTGAGGGAGGCTGCCTAGTCAGACACCCCCCTCAACAGCCCCCCCAAGTGTCCCGCTGGTGGCCGATTGTACATTTCTTGCCCATTAGTCATGAGGTGCTCTTGTTGTCTAGTCAGAGCATTTTCTGTATAATTCTTTTCACTTTCCCCTTTACTCTGCAAGCAGAGATTTCTTATCCAAGAAATAACCCCTCCTATTCTCTCTCTTCCCCTGCCCTGCTCGCCCGTCCAAAACACTCCAGCCTATCCCAATTCAATGCAGATTCAGATTCAGTAGGAAATCTCCTTTGGGTGTGGACTCCAGCTAATCCCCTTTGCCTGGAGCACAAAGTCAGTCCCCCATTTAGACAGTCCTTGATTGCCTGAGTTTGCCAGAAAGACAGAGAAGAGGAGCCGGCTGGACAGAGAGGCACAAAATTCAACCTACCGCCACTCCTGGCCTTTCTTGCCTCTGGAAAAGCTTTCTGGTCGGTCAGCCCGGGCTCTTGCAGGACCTCAGCGCCAATCTCTCTGCACAGCTCCAGCCTCCTTTAAATTTCAAGGCCGGGGGTGGGGTCAGTGGCCCCGGGTGGGCGGGCTTCTCTGCGGCGGGAGGATACCCAGTGCACTGGGCCATGAGGGAGCCAAACGGGGCGGGCCTGTTTTTATAAAGAGGGGGAGGAAGCTCAGGATGGAAGCTGCGCAGCCCATCCTGGCTTTGGGCCAGCCTGATTATTCACAGTCCTGATGTCATCGAATACAACAATTTGGGAGTTGGACAGGACCTTAAGAGTCATCTTTTTTAGAATCCTACTTTCAATGATGTAAAAGGGACCCTCAAGATCAGCTGGGTCTAAGCCCCATTCACGAAAAGAAATATACACTGAGGAGTCAGAGGGTTTCTTCTGAAATCTCCAGCAGTAACTGCCCGGTGGGACACAAGAGGTTGGAAGGACTGGACAGGTGGACCAGCTGCCCTCCAGACAGAGGAAGTGCCAGGGTTGAAGCATTTGGGGTAGAGGTGGGGGCAATTAAGGGCAGGCACCTGCAGTGGAAAGTGCCCCAGCCTGTAATCTGCTTCATCAGGCACCTGCCCTGCCACTCCCAGCTCTGCCATCATGAGGAAAATCATTTCATTTCTCTGTAAAGTGAATCTGTGGTCATTGAGGCCTTTTTAGCTCCAGCATTCCCGGAGTGGAATAAAGGGGTTGGGGTGCTGAACTGGAATTCTTTTACGACCATCCATCCCTTAAACTGATGGGAGCTTTTGGGTGTGCTAGAGTTTGCTCTTAAATGTAAATACTCCTGGAAACAGACAACCTGTTTGACTTGTTAACAGCTGACTGATAAAAGCAGCTCAGTGTAGGGGAAAGGCTTAAGCTTGAATCAGCTCTACCAGTAATGAGGAACGTGAACTCAGGCAAGTTTTTCAGTTATGCTGAACTTTCGCAACTGCAGGTCAAGTGTGAATTAGAAACAACGTGCATAAGATCCCTGGCTCATCACGGTAAGTGGCATGTATTATTACTGGTTGATGTCTAGCTGAGACAAGGCATTGTGTGAGAGAAGTAAAAGAAAGGATGGCAGGAGAAGGGACAGGTGGATGGCAGAGGAAATTGTGGGATGAGCAGCTATTGTAGGAGAGGCCAGATTTCATCTATTCTGATCCTAAATATGCTCATATTTGTCAAGCAATGAGAGCTGATTTTGAGGTTGAAAGAGAAGGCATTTGCAGCCAAAGTCAAAATGTTTTTCCCTATTTTTACCAAGACTTAGCTCTGCCAAAGGTCATTATTAGAAAAAGGGAAATAGGGGACCAATTAGCTATAGAACATTGGAGATAGGACATCAGACACGCTGCAGCAGAGGGTGGCCCTGTCCCACAGAGAGGTGTGTATTTTCCTGTGACATGGAATGCCATGATGAGGGGCAGGGGCTTTTCCTAGCATTTTGGTTCATCAGGAGTGAAGGGGTGGTGGTGATGAGACTTTAACTTGAACTCCCGGAGAAGATGATTTGCTCCTGAATGATCACACTTAAATCCTGAAATCACAGAGAGACTGCAGTCTGGGTATGGGCTTCTAAAGCCTGGTCAGTGACTACTGGGGTGGGGTGGGGGTGGATGTGATCGAGGAGACCAATAGGGAGAACCCTTCTCCGCCACTTGTCAGGTCACCTACAATTCCACCTTTCCAAACTGGTTCCCTTAGTTTTTTAGCCTCCAGTTAAAATGCAAATTGATCAGTTAACATGGGGCCTTGAGAGAGAGAAGGCTGGACCTTGAGCAGGAGATTGAAAGGAGGGGATTTTCAGGATCCTACGAGGTGCCCCTGAGCTTTGCTGAAATATTTCCAGTGACTCACACCAGTTGATACCCTGATCCTACGCAGGAGCAGGCACACACGCTGGGGCCTCTGTTCCTACTAATTATGAGATTGTTTTCCTTTCACAGACTCTGGGGATTCTGGGTCAGCCTGAGGAGGAGGTAGGTAAGAGGAGGTTGATAGGAACACAATGGGAGCCTTGATTTTAGTCAAGGGATTGCTTCGGGGTGAAAAAATGAAAATAGATCTTGGTGAAATCACATCCTGGGAAAACTGTATCAAAGCCCTTGCCTTTCAAGAAGGGGAATAAAACCCATGCCCAGATAACACAGAGACAGAATGGGCTCAGGGAAAGCGGAAGAAAGTATTCTTATAGAGCTTTCCCAGCCTTCGCCTTGTGTCTGAGGTGGGGCCTCCTTGACCCCCAGGGTGGGCAGAACTCATGAGTCACCAGCGGGGGCACCTTATCATCTGAGTGGGCACAGGGATGGGGGGCATGGACCACACTGAGATCCTATCAGCTGAGTAAGGAATGATGTGATGTCTGTGGAAGCTCAAGCAAAGAGAGATGGACCAGAGGCTTATGACAAAGCAATTTGGGACCAGAAAACAGAAAATGTGTGTACAATCTCAGAAGATTTAATTTTGGTAGCCATCTGGATTTTCCAGAGGCTGGGGTAAAGAGCACAGTGGATTTGAAATGGTGTTGTTATGACACGCACTGTCTAGGCCTTCATCTAGACTAGAGATACCAAGTTGGTCAGCTGGACCAGTGACCTGAATTCTACACAAACACCAAGAAACATCATTTCTTGTGTTTTTGAGGCTGAATGCCTGGGAAGTGCCCTTAAATATGGTTGTTCTTGTTAAAAATTGCTCACCAGGTCATACGGGAGCTCTTTGTACTATTCTTGCAGCTCTTCTGTAAATTTGAAATAACTTCCAAATAAAAGGTAAAAACTGGGTTATTCTCTTGGAGTAGTAATTCTACTTCTGAATAGTAAGCTCAATAAAATAAAAATTTTCAATTCCCATGCAAGGAAAGAATATGTACAAGACATTATTTTGACTATCTAAAAACTGAAAATAATATATGTCCCAAAATAGGGGAATAGTACTATATAATGCAATATTGTGGAGCCATTTTTATGATTGATAATATAATTACACAGAATATCAAAATCGATCACAAATTACATTACCCCAAAGAAGTAGAAAACACATTTATATATGCACTGTGATAAAAAACTATGTGATATAAACTATATATATATATATATATATATATAGTTTATATATATATATAAAAATATTAAAATATAAAAAAAATACATATAAAGACTAAGAGAGAAAATCAAGTGTTGGAGTACTGCAATTTTTGGTGAATTTTTTTCAGTTCCTTTCCTGAAACTTTTAAATTGCTTTAATAAAAAAAGACTTACGGACTGCACACTGGATCCAGGCTAGCCTGAGTTTCTCCAGCAGCTCCTCTTTGACACAGGCTCTGAAGGGTAGGCTTTTCCATGACAGCGTGTTGGGAGATTGGGAATTTTCCTTAACCTTTTACAGATTTCCATGAATTTATTCAAACTCTTCTTAAATACATCTCATTTTCAGTCAGTTCCTTTGTGGAGGGAACTGAGTTTATCAGGGTGGCCTCCCAGTTCTCCAGCATTTCTTGCCTGTGGTCCTAAAGCTCCCCCTTGGCTTTAGCTTTGAGCTTTGAGCTTTGAGGCTGGCCGCCTGGCTTCAGTCTTCTAGGAGTAAATCAGCCGGGGCCGTGCTCGCGCCAGGCCCGCTGGGCGGCTGTGAATCAGGAAGTTCACCCCTTTTTCTCCGAAATGAGTTGCAGGATTGTGGGCCAGTTTGCTTTGTGCTTTAGCTTCCTTGTGTTTCAGAGGATTATTGTTTGTCTGAAAAGGGAAAGAAAATACTTTGAGACGAATGAGATGCTATTGATGATTTAATGAGCTGTTTCATAAGTTTGGTTTTGTTTTTGCAGCTTTCTCCCTTTCTTACATCTGTTCTCAAGTGGAAAGACCTTTGCAGGAGAAAAGCTCTCTCTCTTTTTTCAGAGATGCCAAAAGGGACCTGAAAGAGCATCTATCTCAGATTTTTCTCAAACTGTCTTCTAAGCAGTATTAGTGTCAAGCATGG